ACCATAAAATTGTACTCTGTATTATTTGTTGTTAGGTCTAACCAATGTTGGAATACATATCCTCATTTTGAGATTACGATTCACGCTCAATTATTAGCATTGGATAAATATTACTCAAATATTGGAGGGCGAAAAATTTACCAAAAAAGTTTAAGCTACGGACGACATAAAAAGGTGACGTCTTTAAAACCACTGGATCGATCGATTTATAAATTATCATGCGTATCCTTCAGTGGTATCAAATTTCTCCTAAACAGAAAAGCAAAAGGGCGCTTTTGTAGTAACGGATATTAGAATAAAAAAAGAATTACTTTCTATGATTTCAAAATGGACCAAAACACACGGCTATGTACATGCCTAATGAAGAAGCCGAAGTGGAAGGATGTTGAAAACTCTAATTTTTACAGATGCCATAAAGGGATACAAGAATAATATCCCGAGAGAGAAAAATACTAAGGAAACTAAAATGTCATAGGAAACTGACAAGAACGAAGGTGAAGGTTGGGATGCTAAAACGCAAGTAGAAAGGCCCGAGAAAAAGGGTTTAAATGCTTCAAACTGCAGACTCAGATACAAAATAGCAAAAAGTGCAAAACTTTTATGACTGTATCAATAAGAAACAGGTAAGGAGATGGAGAATTAAGTAACAAAAGTGATTGGGAAATTAGAATTATAAGGGTATGATAAAGAGGTTTTATCAAAGGGAACTATAAATTAAAGCCACTTAAAGTAGAATCAATAAATCATCTACGTCAATATGTATATATAATCCTTTAAAAGTATGACTAGATCAGAGGCTGATAACACAAACAGAGATGAGATGGGGTAAGAAATAATGAGAAAAATTAATACATCTTCTACGCCTTTTAGTGATTATGATAATGATGACAATAATAATACAAAAAAAATTGTAACAATAATTTAGACCGAGATGTGAATCGTAAAACCACTCGTTCGGTACTCATAATACCAACCGTTTATTTTTAAACTTCACAAACATGTTGTGTGACGCCAGAGGAAAACAGTACACCGTATCCAAAGTAAAAACCTCGGAGTGTAAATAACCCCCGTAATTGAGTCATAATAGGCCTCCCTGAGGGTCCCAAACTGACTGCTGTCACGACACGAGCACGCGTATCGTAATGTTTGGCCGCTGGAGCATCAAGTGTATGAAAGACCGTGTCTCTAATAGCATGCCGTGAACATGACGTATTCGTAAGCTGATGGTCGTATTGTTTGTTTGCGCGGTGCTATTTGTGGTGTACTCGTTTCGGTAAGGATGCGCTCACACGCAAGGGACCAAAATATTTGTCTTGGCGGTGGCAGTGCAGTCGGTGCTTAAGCTCAATATAGAGACAGTCCGTAGGAATACCGGCATTGTTTTGCTATCGTCGCGGGAAAGTGAATTTGTTTCGGGGACATTTCGTTTGGTATTCATATGGACAGGGTATCGTTGTACGATTACTTTGCTGTTAGAGCTAATTTTTGAAATGGCTGAATTCAGATTTAGTTTTATTGTATTTCAATTGTCTTGGCAGGGCCAATTTTTCATCGTCAAGGCCAGATCATCAGTTGACAAGTTATTTTGAGACCAAGACAATGTAGTCTCAAGAAATGCCCAATTGCCTTGGTCTTGTAGGGCAATTAACACTTATCTCAGATAAACTGAAAAAAATTTCTATTTTGAGATGACTCCTAAATAATCCTAGTAAAACACATGTGGGTCATTTGAATTCCTGTGAAATAACCAAAATTTTTAATAGACAAAAGATCACGTAAGTGAACTTTGAGACATATATCACCATGCACATATTCAACGCCATTATATCATCCTTAAATTCGTGATACAACAGATTTGAACTCTACAGTTTGCTATAGCTACTTTGGTAGATAATAAATCGATTTGGTTGTTTCTTGAATTGGTTTGTCAAGACGCTGTACTGGACAGTGATCTCATATCCATGACTTACCTAAGGAGTCTCGTTTTATCATGTACTTAAAAATACGGTGCACTCAAATTTACTTTAGATCCACTGATCTTGAATTCCAATAAATCAAAGGGTCATTGGAGCACGAAAGATCAGAGCATCGCGAGGAATTCGGTCAGTCGCCGCGCGATGACGGTAACGATGACACGTTATTATATTGTGTCACCATAAGAGCAGTAAATTAATGGCTCGTTGGCAATTATCGATTGTTCTCCAGTGCATGAATAAGCCTCGGTTCCGGGAATCATTTTCATCCGCCGAAGGTCCTCCGATCTTGCACGGCTTCTCTTTTGTTCGCGTAAAAAGGATAACAGAGAATAATCGGATTACACAAAATTTATAATGTACTATTCAAACTTTCATTGTATTTTTCAGTAAATTGAAACTTTTGTGGTGTTATTCAGGTAACACGCAAAATTTAACGTTGAGCTATGGTTGCATCGTTTCTCACTTCGGTACACTGAACCTTCTTCCGACGAATAGCAGACATTTACTATCTAATAATAGATTGATGTTACAGCCTCTTTTTATGATTGTGTTAACAAAAATGCGTATAAAAAAACGCAGATAAATAGTATAATTTAAAGGCAAATAGTTAGGAGTAAATGAATACATGCTGTGCACACAATGATAATCCATAAAATTGCTTCAAATTTAACAAAGGCGAATCTTTTAAATCTATACTTAGAAATTTAACTAGTGATTGCTGTTTCTATTATTTCTAAGAGATTAAATTTTTTTCTTTATTACTCCCATGTAAGACTTATGACGGCGAGTTTTTTTTTTTTTTTTTTTTCGACAATTCATTGATTCTGGAAGTTTTATCTTTAAGAGAACCACAGAGCCCAAATTATGAAATGATTCTTTTCTTAGTTAATACACTGTTTCGTCGTANTGGTATGCGTGTAAAAAAATATTTAAAAGCATTTGAGAACAAGTCACCTCTGGATTTTCTTCAAGTAAATATATAATCTATTGATTATAAAATACTAAATCACGTTATGAGCGTTAAAACTTGTCACACAGTTTTTTTTGTCTCAAATCGATTAATCGGTTTTGCATATTAAGAAATAGGTGCGCCAATCAAGGCTTCTTGGATCGAGCTAATTTTGATGGATTCGCTTGATTATCCATCGGCAATCGCCAATTTTTCATTCCCAATGAAACAATTATCCGATGTTTAGCACTAAAATTTTCATCCGAAACGCACCAACTCGATAATTGTATTGAGTCACATTTAATATACACGTTAATAATAGACGTTGGCTTTTGCGAGCGAAGAAACGTTTAAAACCGAGAAAAGCACGCGCTTGAGCCTTTGCGGAAGTAATTTGTGTTCAAAAGTACGAGTAGACTACCTTTTTTATCTTCAACAACGCGCCAGTGGGTTTTTACGTGCTATTTCTTTACGAACTAGTTTCGCGATACTTGGAACAAATTCGAAAAATTATGAAGAGCGCGGAACTGTGATGTAAATGCGTCTATTTTTTTCGTTTTTTTTTTTTTTTTACTTCGTGTTGGTTAGTGTTATTTATATTTCCTGAAGTATATACTTACATCGTAAAATTACTCAACATTAAAAAGAGGAAATAGCTCAACCTTTGTTTGGTATAGTCGCTATATGTATACCGAGTGATGATTGGATTTTCAGCTAATCCGCAAATTCAAACAGAGAAGGAGTTATAATACACAATTACCACGTTTCACCGTAATGTATTATACTTCTGTCATCGACACCACAAACATGGAATTCCCCATTTATACATGATATACCAAGAATCAATTGAGAAAAAGTACGTTATTGGCGAGTGTAAGTCACACTTGCCTCCTTTTTGTGACAATAGTGAGTCTTTCGCGTGTGTGGCTTCCTATATGCCATTAAAGAGAAGGGCCGTGAAAGACGTCACACCGGTACTCTTTGTGATCGGCAAGTCCGGTAATTTCCCACCGCTCGCACAACACGCCGATCTTTCCATCAAACCTCGAAATCACGGATATTGCCACTGTCGTAGATCTTTCACTTCCTGCAGGAAGCGTGAGACCATCTAATTGACCAACAAACGGTCTTCCAATAGTTTATCGTCGAAATAGCTTGCCGGTGTTTTGGCGCTGTATACAATGCGAGCCGAGGTGAATTGCCGATTTTTAATCTGCTTGAGGTTTGACTCGAGATCATTAAAAAGTATAAAAGGGTGCCGTTTTCGATGAGTTTGGATGCTCTGCTGTTCATGTTATACCAGGGTCCCGGAGGGAGAGAAAGTGACGCCAAACAAATCTCTTGCAAATTTTATGGACCCTCGTGTCCTTTGGTTAAAATTCAAACCAAACCTACAAGTTTTTTTTTTTTTAATTCAACAACAGTGATCTACTCGATATGAGTATAATTGCTAGCCAAGTAAATCTTTGGATTACTAATTTCAATTGTCTTTAGTAAATCAAGAAGTTTTCCTTTTGGATGCTGCATATATAAAATTATAAAATCTTTGTTTAAAATATTGTTACATTCCCATAAGTGATTGCATAATCTAATCTACTAGTTCTATCAACAAACGCTCTTCCATACGAATGTTGAAAACTCTTTCAGTCTTAAGCTAAAACTTTTTGCAACTACAACTATTTTTTTTTTTTTTTTTTAATAACCTGATCAAAACTATTCTTCCTCAGGGGCTAAGGAAAACCCCTCTTTTATTGCCATTCTATAATTCGTCTTTGTCAGTTTCGACCCTTTATAACACACCGCAAAGCATTTTTGAGATAACTTCAAACCTCGAAGCAAAAAAAACTCTCAACAATTTTTCCTCCCCTTTCTTTCATCGCACAGAGTAGTTACAAAACTTCACAATTCTCATACTTCGAAAACAATGACTACTTGCAAAATGAAAAATTCCCGTCCACAGCTAATACCGCAAAGCATAACGGAGCCAAACCATTAAGCACACCGTACTTTCTATACAAGTATAAAAAATAAAAATAAAAAAAACCACTTTGTTATATGTTTATCTGATGTTTCAGGTGAGGGAGTGGGAAGGAGGCGCTGACCGGTGGTGGCGGCGGCGGCCATGCGCCCCGGCCCGCCGATCCCGAGCCGCCGCAGGCCTCCCCGTCGTCATCATCATCATCACCACCACCACCACCAACGGCCCGTCATCACCACCAGCAGCGGTGCAACCAACAACATCAATAATCGTCATTATCGGCGACAACAGCGTTGCGGTTTCATTGGCTACTTCGTCTTGCTGTTGCTGGTCACGAATCCGGGTCGGAGCCTCGAGGAGCCCCCAACTACGACAGGCGCCAACACCAGTCTTGCCTCCTCCTCCTCCTCGGTGAATTCGAGTGATGCACTGTTGGCTCCTTCATCATCGCCGTTACCATCGTTGTCCCTCGAAAGTGATGAAGAACAACTGCCTAAGGTTTACAAGCCGAGGGAGCCTCAGAACCTCACTATCGGATATCTGACGGCGATCAAGGGCGAGTTAAAGGACAGGCAAGGACTCGCCATCTCCGGTGCCTTCTCTATGGCCCTTGACGAGGTCAGTTGTTTCTTTTTTTTTTTTTTTTTCGTTTTTTTATCACCTCCCTTTTCCTCTCAGCTGTCCTTGAGTACTTTAATTTTTTCATTTATTTATGATTACTTTTTTTTTTTACTCTATGTACTCTTTTATTATGTGTCTCAGTGTGTTGATGAGGTATCCGTTATTTACTAGATTTTATCCGTTCCCTAAATCATTTGTTCGCGATGGATTATAAGAACATTGAATTTCAAGTGAGTTCGGATTTTTTTTATTTTTCTTCCCTGCGTGTTGCGTGCGCCAACCTCTGTGCTCTTTGATGAAAAAAAAAAAAAAAAAAAAAAAAAAAAAAAAAAAAAACAGAATCATCTTTTCTAGATCATTTTTCATCTTCGTTCAATCTAAGGAATTTTTGATTCCTCTAAACACATTTTTTAATTTTTTCGCTCCAAGTATCGAGTAATCAGTCTCAACCAATTACACAACGAACAGAAGGCCTTAATCACGTGGTATTCTTTTTTTTAAGACAGAATTGAAATATTATTAGATTCGACATTTGTAAACGATTATAATTATATGTACCCTATATGTTCCCAACAAAAAAAAACTTTCTAAACTTTTTCCTCGTTTCGAGGCTTTGAAATTCATCAAAACAGAGTAAATAACGAAAAAATAGTCATTTTCGTCAAATGACGAAAGTTGTAAGAATTCTAATCTCACGTTTTTACACATCGAGCGTCCCTTTAACAGTATCCTTTGTCGCGATAACACCAAATCAACCATCAAATACGCGATACCAAACGAAAGAAAAAGAAAAATTTTTAATCCCAATAAAGGCCCAATCACGACGAAATTGAGGAAAAAAAAATGGGCAAAAAATGAGAGCGATAGAAAGAGACCTTATCAGCATCGGTGATAAGCATAAATCTCATCGTAAAAAGACGCGAGGGCGAACGGCCGCGGCTACTCCAAAAGGTAAGTCAGTCCACCCCTCCCCTTTTCCCTGGCACTGCTCCGCGTGTCCTCCCCTTTTTTTTTTTTTTTTTTTTTTGCACACATATCCTCATACTCGTCGATACTCAACAGACACGCGTGTTACTGTATTTACACGTATCGGTATATACACATAATGTATGTGTTTTACAGTACACCTATACAGGCGCGTGCGAGGGTTACAGCAGAGCAAAGCGTATCCCAACCGGTGCATGCACGCGGGCCCCGATTCGATTCCCACGATCGCGAAACCAGAAGAGAGAGAGAGAGAGAGAGAGAGAGTAAGGTCTACATACACATGCACGTACGGGAAGGAAGGGAGATGTTGCGCCGGAACGAGAAGAGAGACAAGTCGAAGGTGGAGAAAAGAAAAGGAGGAGTTGCGCGTGAGATCAGGACCCCGTTTGCCAGTGGTGGCTCTTTAAAATTAATACGTACTCGCGAGCTGCAACGGAGATGGTCGGTGAAGTTCAGGGGGTTATTTATAGACGAAAGGACGAGGTAGTGGATGTAGGGCAAGTGGACCGACCCAGGACTGCCGATTATTGTACTCACACTATCAAGCGACGATGTTTTTTGCAGCCTCCCTTGTTATTTAAGCTCACCTAACTATCGAAAAAATTTTTTTTTTCTTTGTAAAATTAAAACATTGATTCTCTTGATGATTGTACCACCTGATCCTGTCTAAAATAACGGTACCCACGTGTCTCTATTATGAAATTTCGTGACAAATGTATTGTTGTACATCAGGATACTCGTGGTACAATTTTTTTCTGCGTACAGTAAATTCATAATAGGGACGAAAAGTTAAATATCCTCTTTAGGGATTTCTGGCAGATACATACTAGTGGTACCTACCCTCTTTAACTTTTGGTAATCAATGTTGTGAAATTTAATAACTCGATTATAACTTAGTATTATAAAAAAAAAAAATACTTAACATTTAGTCATTCGGGAAAAAAATAAATGTTCTATAAATAAAAAAACTCGATGAATGAGTAAACAAATACATAAAAGTCCGATCTGATGGGCATTTAACTACATCGAGACATACAATGTGGGTAAATAGGTAACTGATTTATTCGCTATGATTTAATTTTTTTTTTTTTTTTTTAGGTAGTTAATAAAATTCTCCAATATGTATTACTTCTAGCATATGGTATAATCACATTTATCACTCAATTAGCTCACTTTTGAATAAAGTTTAAAAACATAAATCAAAAAAAGAAAAATAAGGCAAAATTTGGGGGTTCCCCGAAATTTATCACAACCCCAAGCGGTATTATACATAATGGCGCATTATTCCCTCTCTATCTCTTTTAAAGTCTCGGGATGTAAAAAATAAAGCGGAATAGATGTCTTATACGGAGCACTATCATTATTATTATTATCATTATTATCATGCACCGTTCCGCCCCCGCATGCGCGTGTGTATACGCGTAAACACAGCCGATCGCCACCTTTGCCGGCTGCTACTGGCGTCGAGAGGCAACCGTGAGAAGAATATTTGCAGCCCACGGGGCCCGGGGGGTGGGCGGGGGGTTGTGGGCGATGACGACGCTATATATAACCGTACTTTCTATACAAGTATAAAAAATAAAAATAAAAAAAACCACTTTGTTATATGTTTATCTGATGTTTCAGGTGAGGGAGTGGGAAGGAGGNTTGTCTTGCGTAAGCCCAACTATGATCAAAGTCCCGTATGACCAAAAAATACTTGGTACGGACGGTTTGAGCTCTAAATCAATATGCCAAAATCAGGTGTAGATAAAATAAATTACACTTTTTTCCGTGACGAAAACCCAAAATACCACTCCGTGTACGTACAACGATATATATACTATACAATGCATTACATATACAAGTATGCTTATATATATACGCGTATACACCTACCCAAAGAGATATGCCAGAGAGAAGGTGGAGGAGGACGCGAAGCAAGGGAGAAAGCGAAAACGCTGCTGCCGCTAACGGGCATACCTAAAATATATATCCGTGGAGCGGGGCCCACGTGTGTGCATGGGTGTATATATATGCGTGTGTGTGCGCGGGGCACTTTAAAAGCCGGCGCGTATGGCTTGGCGCCGATTTTTTTGGCGCTGGCTTTTTTGGCCGACCGGTGAGAGAGGGAGAGGGGGGAAACCCTTTTCGTGATGGGAATCTCCTTCTCGGCGCGGGCCGTTTATGTATCTGGGAACCGGCATCATCTTATTCTTTATTCCTCCGCCTCCTCTTGCTTCTCCACCCTTCCTTTCTTTTTTGCCCTCCCTCTCTCTTCTCGCCGTGCATACCCCCGTGCATGCGTTTCCTGCTGTGACTTATTGCGTTATAATAATGCCTCTGCTGTGGGCCAAGAGAAGCTGGGCGAAAACGATACAAAACGAAAATGGTTCGGCAACGATTAGCTCTGCGTGGTTCTCTTGTTGCGTTGGATAAGGCAAAAGTATCGGTGATCGAGCGATTTTTGCCGTAAAAGTTTGTTTATCGGTTTGTTTGTGGAATCACTATATGCTTGAAAAAATTATTGAAATTTCGGTGGATACTTGTTTTTTTCATTTCCAAACAATTTCATATCAAATGGCCTTCCGGCTGCTGTATGCTAGTCAAAAGTGATAAGTCAGGGTTTACAAAATTTGAAACGCCAAAATATTAATCAAAAACTTTAAACATCTTTTCAAGTACCAAGTACGATTTTTCACGACTGTTTTCTTAAACTAAACATCTTTATAATTGATAATTTCTATTTATTATACGTACTTTTTATTTGCTTCTCTACTTTTGTTCTTTGCACGGTTATAACATTTCGTAAACAACGAAACATCATGACCATTAAAACTGAATATCATTGGAAAAACATCGCGAAGCTAGCTCATTTGGAGAATCGTGATCTCAACTATTATTTGGGTGGTAGCTCGTTACAAATTAAGTGATTACTGTAACTTTCAGTTATTTTTGCACAAAAAAAGCGTTTCCAGTTGTATCCTTAATATTTTTCAGTTTTGATCGATTTAATATTTTGTTCGGAAACTCATGCCCAAAGGTTCTTTTTGAATCCTTTTCTACTGCACAGTAAAGTTTAATTGGACTTGTTGTACACTGTTATATGCAGGCTCAAAAAGGTAAATCGGTGAAGCGCCGTTAAAAGGGTTTGGGGGCCAAGCCCCACTGTATTTTTAGAATTTATCTAATGAATAGAAAATGATTTCAATGTGCTACAGCCTATTTAAATATTTTTAGTTTTTTTACTCTAATTAATCTCCTTCAAAATTCCTATTTACAGATTTTTAAAATATGAGTCAAGTATAACTTTTGAAAATATTTACACCACAACTGCGTGAACTTTTACACCTTTGAACTTGTGTGTCATCGAGCTTTATCAGAAACTTCATCCAAGGGTTTTCGACTACCTACTTTCCTTTCCTTTTTTTTGAGCAAGACGCGGGCGTTATTGAAAAAAAAAAAAAAAGACGTAAGCATCGCGTTTCAGACCCGCTCGCCCCCGACCCGCCCGAGTAATTGAGCTCTCGTGGCTACAGCAATAGGAAAACGTCATGTTTTCAAATGTCTCTTTTATTTTAGCCGTGACGCGGCTCTAGAAACACAGAAGATGGAAGATACGATCCGCGAAACGCGTCCACACACTCGAATACGTGCTGAGCAAGATTATAGTCCAATTTGAAAGGCTGCAAGGTCTTTGCTCGTGCGCGTGCGTTCGTTCGGCCATTTGTATTCTCGTGCGGTGCATTGTCGAGTCGCGAGGCCGGAAAATCGCCGATCGTCATCGGTATAATTATATGGACGACGTTTGATGAAAGACATTTTTTTTTTTTTTCAACCCCAATCACTGGTGTTTCGCGTATGGTATATGTGACGCAAAACTGTAAAAAGCAACGCGCTGCTGACGCGCTTCGTCGAGAAATCGGTAAACGATTTCACGCCCGTGAAATTATTCCGCCGTAGATGGTGTGGTGGAATGGCGCGTACCTCAGACAGAGGGGCGCGCTCTATTTCCGTACCTCAGGGTGATC